GAATTGACAACATCACACCTCTGCCAATCATTCATCGGCGTGCTGCACGTAAATAATCTCCCACGACATGTCCCGGGATAACTCCTCCCAACCATTAAAATATGCCGCCAGATACTCGGTGAACTGCCTCGCAGTGCTGGCTCTGGTGTGGCGCTCACCCGCCGTAGCCATCCGCAGACCAACCAGCGTCTTCGGATTTGAGTCCACAAAGAAAAGGCCGTCCACCAGCGGAAAGTTTTGGACTTTCGGCTCATACAGCACCCAGTGGTCCATAGCAACCGGATTGGAAAGGCGTTCCGGTGGCGGCAGAACCTCTTTTCTGGTGAAGCTCGTGTCTGAGTGCTCTTTCAGTGCACCTGTGTGGCTCACGTCGTCCTGGTGGCCTCAGTTCCTTGAGTTTAAGTCTTATCGCACGCAGGAAATCCTCATTCAAAAATGCGGATGCGGCACACTTTTCAATAATATATGGTGGGGCATAATCCCAGAACCTCAAAACAAAAAAAATAAAATTGGACTGCTTCATTTCATTCTCCAACCGGGACAGAATTTCACGTTCGAGGTGGGGAGATACCAGCAAATTCAGAGGCGATTCAATGCTGTTTCCTCGTCGTACTCGGACAGCCTTCACAAGCTTTCGAGACAAGTCGCTGTCATTGGACGAGTAGCAACAGCCAATACCCAAATTACGCTCTAATTCCGGAGCGGTCGACCCACCCACGGCTTGCTGACACGCTTTAATGCGGTCATCACATGCCTGTTTGCCAAAGATAAAGCGGAGAATTGGTCCCACGTTATTCATGCGACCCCTCACCTCCTTCCAGTACTCCGCTTGCTCCTGCAGGGGCCGATTGCGTTTCATCCAAATGCACATTGCCCTCACATCGTTTTCTTCGGGACAATTCGTTACGATTGCAGTAGCGTCCATTTTTTTGCCCACCGTTCATAGTCGTTTTTGTCTGGTGGTGTCACCACAATCATGCCCCATCCCCTGCAAGGCAAACCAGCAGGCGGTTGACGACATGCCAATGTCGCATCGTAGATACAATACCCTTTCACCCCACGCAAAGAAAAAATGTTTACAACATCATCAATCCCGGGGTCACCCCTGTATGTTGATACCGTTTTGGTGGTCTTGTCAAACAAAAATGATTGACTCCCAATAACGTACGCAACCATTGGGAGCTGCTCCGCATCGTAGTGCAGCAGCTGGTAGAGGAGGTACGAGCCGGCATTCATCGACTTACCGATCCCGGGCGTCCCAATCAACAGACGCTGCTTGGGCTCAAAGTCGTTCCGACCGTGACTGCTGAACCACTCGGTGAGATCGCCCTTAACAATCTGCCACACTCGATCCACCTCACAGTTCACGTGGCAGTCACGAGTGGATTTATTCTCCCTCCATCTCCACGAGTACGGCCATCCCTTGTGCGAGGTAAGAACCAACAGCCTGGGACGCGGTGCACCGGATTGCCACACACCGTCATCCTTTTCGAGGGTGTCGTCAACTTTCTTGTAATTCCATGACTGCTGTGGTTCCCCCTCCCTCACTTCCACTCCCGTCCCCCCGCCGCCAGAAACTTCCACCACATGGCTCCACCTCGCATTGTACACAGACTCGTACAATCCCTCCAGGCATATCGGTGCACTCGTCGTCGTTGGGTTCCTCGCTTCCTCGGCGGCTGCATCCAAGAACCTTTTAGTGACTTCATGAACACTTGCTTTTACCCCGCAGTAGCCACCAACCACCTCAGTAGATTGTCCATGCAATGCTCGTAAAGCTTGCTTGCATCCTCTTCAATATCCATTTCATCCCTCACAGCCCTCTCCATCGTATTGTAACGATCGGACGCCTGCATTCCGCCCAATACTCCCGCACCGCAAATATACTTCTTGGGATCCTTAAAAAACTCCTCAGCAAGACATCCCAATTGGCGTCCACAGCGCCCCTGCCGTCCAATTCCATCGCAAGAAAATCATTCAGCCGCATTTTATCCACGCGAACCCTTCCTTTAAACACCGCATACTTAATCCCAGTGGAAACGTCAATCCCCAGTTCTTGTCGTTCTCGCCTTTCCTCTTCTTCTGCCCTCCGCCTCTCTACTCTCAGTACATAAGAGCAGGCTGTGCTTATCTGTGCCCTTGCAAGAGGAGTGACCGTATCCTTTCTTTTAAATTCCCTCCATTGCCTGAGAGTGAAAATATATTCTCTGTTAAGCTTATGTGAAGCCTCCGATAGCACGTAAAACTCCTCACGCTCTTTTTTCAGCTCTTGGTACGACGGCAATGCCTTTATTGGGCTCAATAACACTTCGTCTTGGATGAAGTCATTGGGGCTACTTAAAAGGTCCTTCAGATAGACGTTCTCATTGAATTCCTCAACGCCCCTGCCGCCAAAATAATTCTGAAGGAAATCATTCAGCCCCATGTTGGTGGTGCGTTCATTTCCCTCCAGCAGTAATTTATGCAGCCGACTGTCAAGAGTCCACTGCGGCCACACTTTACTCCCCGCCACACGTCGGGCTGCAGCGTCGGAACCATCACCGGAGCCGCTGCAAGGCGCCACCACTACACCCGTGCAGTGAAGCAGCCCACTCGCACCGCCCAACTGCGGCCAGCAGGTGCCGCTGGCTCCAAAGGACACTCGCGGCTGTTTCGTCCCGCAGTCCCAATGGCGTTGGGCGGGGCACTCGCACGGCGGGGCGGTCGGTGCGCCACGCAGCCGCACTGCAACGCCTGTCGGTGAAGCAGCCGAGGCGTGCAACCAACCACAACACCGCCACATCATCGCCCTTTTTTATTATTCACGTTGTCTGTCCGTTTGCCCCATCGCTGACACTGAAAATAGGTGCACACATTCACAGTAAAGAGAAAGAAAGAAGGAAAACACGATCACACCGCCCCGCCGCGGGCCAACACTCTCCTCCACCCACCACCATTGCCGCACAGGAGACCGCTGTCACATCGCAGAGTCAGCACCACAATGTGCACCACACCATCGTGCAGTGAACAATGGGCGGGACGCAGCCAGGCATCGCCCCGCTCCATTTTCCCACCACTCAATTCTTGCGTGCCCGCACAAAGCAGCAAACAAAGCCAGAGCGCACACAAACCCAAACAACCCCCTCACTCGCTAAAGCACATTATTCGCATGGAGTGACATTTGAGGCCATACCAGCAACATTGGGCTGCATGGAGTTTCCCCGCCAACCCTGAGAAAAGACACAATAAGTCTGTGGAGTAAAAGTAACAGCCCCTTGGTGTTGCCCGCAGTCCGCATGGCAAGACGCATTCCACGCACGCGTCGTTCAGGATCCCTCGCCACCTAAAGGCACATCAACAAAACGATAAAAATACGTGCGTGCAAGGTGGCAACCAAATGCGTGAACACATCAGCCTGCTTTGTTCGATGCCTTTGGAGATCAGTCCCACACAACCCAACCAAAGTGACACACCGGACGGAACGGCGCCGGTCAATAATAATTAAGAATCACGCCGATGCCAAAGGCAGAAGAAATTTGGGTTTGTTCCCGAATTCGGGGCAACAGTGGCATGGGAGTATGTACGTGTGCAAGGCCTTTCTTGGAACGGTGCTCCCAATCCCTCCCTGCCCTGACACAAAAGGGCAAAAAAAGAGGAGCACACTCTCCAAAAAAGGGAGTGACGGCTGGAAAGTCAGCCCCGCTTCGTCTCACATGTCATCCACATATGCGCACTTCGCCCCAAATATTTACCGCCATGAATGCCGCATACATGCCGTGCGGTTCTGTCACTCGCAGCGGGATCTTTCCCCGGTAAACAAAAAAAAAAAATGGCCACGGCGCAGCTCCACTCAGTGAGACAATCGGGGCAGACACGGGTGGGAACCAGACATCATACCAAAAAAGGGGGTAATAACTCCTCCAGGCCACGGAATCGTGCAGTGTTGATCCCTCTTCTTCTGAGTGGAACCTCCTCAACAGAACAAATGCAACAGACACATGTGCAGCACAATATCTCTCTGTCCCGCGTCCCATCTTACTTCCCATGAGTGCCACAGCGGTGGTTGCGTTACATCTGGAGCGAGTCCAGACATCAGGCACAACGCTGCAGAGAGTGGATGCTTGACGAACGTGGCCGCGTTGGCGGCTAACAGAAAATGGCGTCAACTACAAAGAAGCATCTGCGACTCAAGATACACGTGTGTGGCCGTACTAAAGCAAACACTGAGAGACGTGTGGAGCAACGCAAAAAGGAAAAAAGAAAAAATAGAAAAATCCACAAAAATATATCAATATATACACACGCAAAGAAATACATCAACCCGCATTATTTTTTCGTTCCCTTTTCTTCCTTCTTCACATTTCATACAGCATCATAACTAACGAGGAAAACAAGCATGCCATCCCACACAGTCCTCGTGGAACAGGAGAGCGTCATGCAAGCACCTGGACAAAATAGAAACAGTGCACAGAAAAAACAACAACAATGCCGTTGCAGAGTCCGATGGGCGGCTGTGGTGCGCAGCCGTGGCCCCACGCCCTCCCCTCATATCAGCCAGCAACGCACACGTCCTAATTTCGTTTAATGAAAGCCACAGAATGGCGTTATCGTCTTTTTATCCCTACTGTTTTCTCAAACAAACTTCGTGGCTCGCACAACAGCCACCATCGCAAAGCACGTCCTCATTACTGAGTAAAAACCTAAATAAGAACCCCGAGACCCAGAAAGAGCGCTGCAGCGGCGGGCGTGCAACACACACCCGTGACACAGCCGCCCTGGGCTAGCGCAACACCTCAATAATCCGTTGCTGCCAAAATCGATAAAACTAAAAAACGACGACTCAATCAGCCAAGCATCCGATAATAATGAAAAAACGTAGAAAACACATTGCCAAAAGCGTCTACTTTATACTGCATCCATGAAAAGCCCTGTAACTTCTCGCCACGTGGAGGTACTGCTTGGGCAGAGACCTTCCAGCTCGAGGAGAAACTGCGCCAGCTTTCTTGTGCAGCAAAAATTCCTTACAACTCCGGCGTGGCACAATCAATTTTGCAGCTCGCACCCGATGCACGGTCGAACAGACTCAGGGCGTCTGAGCGGGTGTCACTAATCATGAGCCGCGGCGGTGCGGGTGGTCGGTACGACGACGCAACAGTGGTGCCTGAGGCGTACGATGATGACGTCCTGTCGTGGAGCTTCTGCGTCTCTTCGTCGCTGTCCTCGTCATCGCGCAGCAGCGCCTCCAGCCCTCCACGCCGCGGCTCGCGCAGCTCCTGCCAGTGGCGGCCCTCCGCGTACCACACAACGACACTGTACACAGTGATCGCAAGCAGCACAGTCGTCAGCAGCAGCACCGTAGCCGCGTACGCCCTCGCTCCGCCGTCGCTCGGCGCAAGGTGGTTGGCCGCGCTGATCACGCACAGCGCCGTAAGCAGCACAAAGCTTGCAGCGTGCATCGCCGTCAGGAAGGCCGAGCGCATCATGTTCGTGAAGGCAACCACGCCCGCGCCCGCAACCAGCACAGCCGCCATGCAGAAGTACTGGACGTGGCAGCCTCC